GGGGGAAGGGGTGGGGGGGCGTCCCCTCCCCTATACAAGCAGGAGGCCCCAGCGCGGACTCTGACCGGCAGCAACGGGGGTAGCGGCGGCGGCGGCAGCAGCAGCAGCAGCACACTGAGGATCGAGGGACGGCCTGGCAGGCCGAGTCATGGACCGCGAACCGGACCCGGACGACGACGACGACGACCGACTGGACGACGAGCAGGACGCCCGCCAGCTGGAGCGGCGCATGAGCGAGAGGCGGCGGGCCCGCTCGCTGCCCGCCTGCCCGGCCTCGCTGCTGCTGGCCGCCGCGGCCCGGAGCGAGCAGCGCAAGCGGGTCCAGTTCGCAGACTCGCTCGGTCTGAGTCTGGCCAGCGTCAAACACTTCAGCGCGCTCGACGAGCCCCGAGTGCCCACCAAGGTGTTCTCCAGACACACCGGGCGGCCGGCGGGGGGCGGGCGGCACTCGCAGCCGGCTGGGGGAGGGCGCCTGGTGGCCTGCTTCTCCGAGCCGGCGGACCCGGACTCTCGCCTTCGGCTGCAGCGCGTGTGCCTGGAGGGGCTCTCCGTCACGCACTTCGACGTGCGCGGACACGTGCGAGTGCTGAGCGGGAGCGCGCGCGGGGAGGTGGGCGTGCGCTACACGTTCAACGAGTGGCTGTCGCACGTGGACGCGCAGGCCCTGCTGCTGGACGCGCAGCCGCCGGCCGGCGGGGGCGCGCGCTACGGCTTCACCGTCTACACGCCCCCAGAGATGGAGGCCGGCGCCGCCGTGCACCTGGCCGTCTACTTCCGCTCCGACCAGGGCGACTTCTGGGACAACAACGACGGGCGAAACTTCACGCTCCGCTACTGCGCGCCCGCTTTGCCGCCGCCCGAGCCGCACGACCGCTGCCCGGAGCCGGCCGCCGACCGGAAGTGACGTTTGGCTCTGGCGCTCAAATCATCTGGCGCGGATGTTCACGTGCTGCTCGAGGACATGTCACGCTTCCGGGTTAAGGTGCGCCGCACGTAAAAGTGCTGCAAGCGAGGCTCAACACTTTCCATCCCATTGGGCAACGCGAGCGCGGGGTTTCTGCGTGTGGGGGGGGAGAAGGGGCTGCTGGGCTGATCTGAACAGGCCCAGCAAAACAAAACTTGTTGCAGGTGAACATTTGTCATTCATCAGCCCACCGTCCCACACGCTTTGAATCCATTTCAACTTCTTGCGAGACATTTTGTGCAGTCCTTCTCCTCAGCACCTGTTGTCCTTCTTTGGCTCTTTGGGGCCCATCGTATAACATCACTTTGAGGAAATGAACAGACTCGTTCACTCGTGGATTCCTAGCGTGCGTGCTTCAAGCTGTTCTGTTTTTTCCCACTCAATGTTTACTGTGAAAGTGAAGACGATTAAACCTGGCTCTTCTCTTGCTGCGTTTGTGCTGCGTGTCTTCCAGTAGAGCTCAGCATCGCGCGCCCTGTTGTGGCAAAATGCAAGTCCAAATTCTCCCCAAAAAGTTGACTTTCAAGTCCGAGTCATATCTGAAGTGTCATCTATAGTGAGCGAATAACGTCACCGGGAATGGCTGCAGGATTTTTTTGGATGGATGGAACGTATCAAAAAAAAAAAAATGCTGGAGGAGCTCAACTGGAGCAGATGACCGATGGAGGTATCCCCCCACCAACGTCATAGCCCCGCTAGCGGCCATGCGCGTGCACGCTCAACACCTGACGTGCGTATGTGAGGAAGCGGGCCACGGTCGCGGGTCCTCAAAGAACACAGCGCTCTATTCTTAACCCGCCTGCTAGCTGCGCGGTCAGTCACCCGTTTCTCCTTTGCTCCGGTAACCCGACATTGGAACCCGCCCACCGAGCCCTCTCCGCGCTAAAACGTGCAGTGGCTTCAAAAAGCTTCCATTTCACTTTCGTCACATAAAGTGCTTTTATTTGGGTCTCTGTGGAAGTCGGCTGCTGCGACGCCCCCCATGACGCACCGCCCACCTCACAAGCCGGAAGCTGATTGGCCGCTTGCTGCTACTCCACCGCCGTCTTCTGAGCCTGGAACATACTGCCCACGACCACCTGCGGGAGCGCGCGCACACACACACACATACACACACACAAAACTGCATCACGTGACAAGCCTCCTCTGTCGCAATCCCATCAAAATCATGACGTCGCATGCAAACAAAAAAAAGACAGTGAATGTTTTGCTTCTTCTGTAACTTGCTATTAGGCAACACTCGCTCTGTTTGCCGTCACTTTGCCTGCGTGTGCCTGCGTTGTCGATTGATTTTCGTGCCTTTGAGGACATATCAGCTCCACATGACCCCAGTGCAGGGGTGCCTTGAGACACGAGTTGAATGCGTTGCACCACCATGCCCATAAATCAAGACGCCCTTTCCTCAAGGACACCACGGCAAATGCAATAAACCAACATGCAGATCTCGTCTGCGCATGCGTGAGAATGGAGGCGAAAAAAAAGGCGATCAAACCGCGAGCGGCTTGGTACACACACACACACGTTCATCGACTGGCATGAGGGGAATAGCTGCGCAGGACCACCAGAGGGCGCCAAATGCTCACGAGACGGCAGCCTGGTGACGTCATGGCTCGGCCCCGCGGCTCGGCCATGATCTTCATATTTAGCTGATGTGGTCCAGCCCGACAACTGTTCAGCGGCCGTACGGCAATGGCCAAAAAAATCCATTTGAAATCGACCAGGAAAGCTCATAAATGAAAATGGGGGGACAAACAGTCCGTTTTGGAGACAAAATGTACTTTCGGTTTGTTCTCCTCCCCAATTGGAGTTGTAGTAATGTCATTTGTTTTGGTGATCACCTTGATGGGTGGAAGGGCAGCAAAGCTGACAACAACTTGCCCATGTGAAAGAGAAGAAAGAAGAGAAAAACTGCAGCTGGGCCGACATTTGGCTGGCAATTTTTGGACATGCCGGCAGACTCACAATGGAGCTTGTCGTTGCGCAATATATACCAAAGCGAGATTTTCCTTTGGAAACAAAGCGGCCCGTATACATCGCATTTGAAAACATTCCCAAAGTTGCCGTCAGGAAAAGAACGCAAAATATAGATGCAACGCTTCCAGGGGGAGGGGTGTCGGCGAGGCAGTCGTTCACGCTGGGTGTCGTCCTACTTTGGGCTTCCCAAAAGCAACTCGTGCGTCAGAGAGAGCTGACTTGGCTTCTGGTCTCAAGTCGCAGATGTGCACCCCCCGCCCCATCCCACCCAATTTGTAACAGTTTCCGTGACCTGACAACACACGAGCACGACCCTCAAGGTGGCCGCTCTACGACGCGCCGTCCGCTGGCGGCACCCGAGAATGAGCCCGAGGATGCATTTTGGGAACGAGCTCAGCCGATTAGCCGGCCGGAGTGGCGCGGGTGGCAGGTCAGGAAACGGGCGCTCGTCAGCCTGAGGCTCTGTCGGCGTGCGCGTACGTTACCTGTCTCTGTATCAGCGCCAGTGACTGGCGGCCCTCCAGCACCAGCCTCTCCACCGTGTTTGGGTCGGCCACATCCTTGTTGACTCTGAAAGCGTCGCGCACACGCCGCACCGCGTACGTCCTGCAACGGACGCAGATTGGGATCAGGATTCAATTCTTATTCTAATTACGACCACTCTCATCATCGCATTTGAGGGCAGCAAAGGCCAAAATGGCCGCCTCCACAGATGGCAGAAAACGGGTCGGGTCATCTGCCTCACTCTTTGTTCACAATTGCAATATTCATCGAGATAGCGTGTGGAGACTCGTGAGGACACGGGCAACATATTCTTGCAAAGAACATTTTAGCCTTGGAATCCCCTTCAAAAAACGGCGACGAAAAGTCGGCCCGCCTGTGAAACCAGACTGATTGCAGCCGGAGGTCTTCCCAGTTCAAACGACTCAACTGTTGCCGCTAATTTGATTTGCGTAGCTTGGAGATACAAACACGCACACGCGCGCGCACACACATGCAGAAATCAATAAAGCGATGGCCAGCCAGCAGTGGGAGTGTACAGCGTCTTGCTTCACTTCCTGTTGGCATGTGGGAGCACGCTAACGATGCCTATGTGTGTGTGTGTGTGTGTGTGTGTGTTTGTTTGTGCGTGCCACCAAGAGAAGATCTGCCTGAGAGTATCTCTTGATGCTGTTTGCATTTGTGGCTGCGCCGTGCGTGTGAGAGGAGCACTTAACAACTACCATAGAATCCAAGCTAATTTCCGCTAGCCTGTGTAAAGCGTTTCACATTATATAGTAGCATTGTATGACAAAACGATCGGTTGTTGAATGTATGTTTGATTGACTTTTGTTGATGTCAGTTTGACAGTAAAGTTCAAGTGGGAATGACAAACAGGTTGAAGCAAGCACACTTCCCTTTACTTGGAGAATGGAGTCTTCATTTAGTCAAAAGCGATCATATGTGATCGTCTCCGATTTATTAACGGGGACAGAGTGAGGGTTGGCGCCAAGGAATACTTGGATGATGTTTCTGTTGCTTCATAATATGTTGAAAGCGCGGAGGAGGAAAAACTAACTTTCGAACATATGGAGGGCGGGGGCGGCGGTTTGGATCTGCGTCGTGAGGTCAGGGTGCTTTTGGGAGCGTGAAAGTACAAGGACTTGTTTTGTCGCTTGTGCTGACGATGGAGTGGAGATGCCACACAGCTGGCAGGTGCTCAGTGACCTTGACAAGTTCCACTTCTTCTTGCTGGCGCAGCACATTGAGCATTTCAGATTGTGCCACTAAAGCCTCGATGGATCAGATTTACGAGGCGTCGTTAAAAACACGAGCGCAACAAGGACGTGATCGCGGGATAACGACTTTTATAGGGATGAGATGGAGGGAGCGGAAGGACGAGGAAGGCAACGCAGGGAAATGACGGCGGAGCCGGGCAGGAATGGTGAAGTGGAAGTTTCACCCTTGTGCTTCTGATGGCACAATCAACTCATTGATTATTCAATTTCACAACTCCTTCGACAAATGATTGATCATTTTCAGCAGGGGCGACCAGCCAGTGGATCACAGATCGACACCAAATCGGTCGCGAGGTGTGTGTGCGGGTTAATATTCCCTAAAAGAGATGTGAAATGCATGACGTCAACAATGTGGAAAGTGAAGTGCGATTTGTTATATTGTACACTTTACGATGACCCGGGAGTGTAGGTTTGGTGACATTAACCGAAATAACCCCGATTCTATTAGCCGGATGAGGAAAACATTTGAATGGCTTGTTGATTCGGATGTTTTTGTAATTGTTTTTTCCCCTTCGAAAGCGCTGACAACAAGACTGTGGGTAGACTGTTTTTGACAGAGGTTTCTGTTGTGTTTTGATCCCGGGACTTGGATAGTCATTTAGAAAGTTTAGTCGGGCCGTGGAAGCCCGACTAAACTGGGACTGGGCGGACCGCTGCATGTATTTCACAATGCTAAAAATGTCATTCGAGTGACGTCCGATGCTGGCGATGCAAACAGTGCGAAGCAACACTAGCAACCCGCTGACTGACACGCCTTTAAAACGAAATGACGCAACAGGAAGCATGGCGGGCTATCGACTCGCAGTTTTTACCTGTAGTTGTACGAGGGGAAGTTGTAACTTTCTCTTAGGAGCATCTTGTACAGAGAAATCACCTGCGCTCTCGAGGGCGCCGCCATCATGTTGCTACGCTAACAACGCTAAACCTCAGACAGCTGACATTAAGACCCCACTGACCAGGGTGCCCGAAGAGTGCCTGTTCCATTTAAGCATTGGTGCCGCGAACTTTTGCCTTTGTTGTGATTTCTGGCCAAAAAAATTGATATAGCCTCTTTTTTGGGTGCCGTGGTTGACGGTCAATATGCACACATTTACAGAATGATACTTTGAATGACGAGTTTAACATACGGGCACGTTTGTGGCCACTAAACGGAAGGCAATGCCGCGCGACGTGTGAAGGTAAGCCCCTCTTGCGATCTGTACAATAAAAAAAACAATAACAAAACGTTCAAACATGAACTCTGCGTTTTACCCACATGAATTGATGTGAGAGTAATGCGCGTTATTGCAACACGCCAAATGGCAAACACGTCGATCAACATCTCACCCAACGTTCCCCTTTTGTTGTTATTGGTAGGTTGGAGGGCAACAGGCAGGGCTGACCAAGAGCCATTCATTCAAAGTCATTTGTTTCCAAAGTGGCACATTCATTAACTGCTGTCGTCGCAGATCACAGAGGGCCACGGAACGCCATCAAGATTTTACGATGATCACTCCACGTCTAATGTTTGTCAGTCATGTAACTCACCGAGTGAACCAAAATATGCGATACGCCTCTCATGTTATCCCGATGCCGTGCACTTGCAGACTCCTGCAAAGTGCAAGCATGTCCACGGAAAACCTCCAACGTGAACATAATCACGTTTGTAAAGACGCGCACCTTGATACAGCTCTTCCGTTGGGAACAAAATTCGGCCCGGGAATATCTGTCAACGGGGCGGACGGAGGCCGTTCAGAAAAGCCCCCAAATTCCCGATGGCCACTAAGGCCCTGACAACGAGCTTTTAAAATCTGTGAAATTACAGACCCTGCAAAAAGGGGGGGGGGGAAGTAAAGAAAGGAAATCTACACGCATTACACCCAACTACATTCCATCTCACGTTAACATATTCCAAGACTTTTGAAAAGGCCCGTCACCACGCTTGCAGTCAAGAAATGGCAGACTCATGCATAACATCACTTGGAGGAAAAGATAAGGAGGCTCTCACAGGTCGAGTCGCTTCGAGCTCTTTATTTGGTACTCACAGTTGAAGGGAAGTTTCCTGTCACTCCACGCTGGCCTTCTCTGAAGCCATGTTGAGCAAATGACGGCGTTGACCTTTTTGTCTCCGCAATTTCCCCTCGGCACAGAATATTCTGCTGACGTTGCGCTTTGATTCTCCGCACACAGCCTGTAGGGGTCCGCCGGTCCTTCAGCAGCTTCTGGCACTCGCGGTCATGCTCTTCCGCCAGCCGCTGCGCCTCCTGTCGCCGCCGCTGGCCGCGTCCCACCGACGTGCGCACACAGCGAGCCCCGCCCTCGGCCAGGAGAGCGTGGAGGTGTTAGGTCGCGCCTACGCGTGCGACGACTACACCAATGTCACGCCCAAGGTCCTGGCCAAAGTGGGCCGCAACCTCCACAACCAAAGGCATCATCCGCTGTGGCTCCTCAAGGAGCGGATCAAAGCTCACTTCTACAGGTGCCTTCTCCGTGCTCAAATGAAGTCACCGTTTTAGCGGACGATATTCGCCCTTTTCAAAATATGCAGAGTCGGGATTTGCCCATGAAATGCTCATGCTTTTGGCAATTCTGCCACTTTATGACCTTTCCTCTTGAGCGCACGCAGCGACCAGTCACTTTTCAGCTGACCATCTTAAGAGCAAGCATTGTCGAAAAGTTCAATTCTGCTCCTTGTGGTTTCTCTGGTCAGCGCTTACGCGGGTCGCTCGGGCAACCCGCTGTTCTCGGCCCACGACAACCTGAGCCCCGTGGTCACCGTGGAGCAGAACTTCGACAGGTCATTTGATCGATCGACATCCGCGTGCCCGTCCGGTCCGCTCACCGACTGTCTTGACTGATTGACAGCTTGCTGATCCCGCCCGAGCACCCCAGCAGGAAGCGCGGCGACAACTACTACCTGAACAGGTGAGCCGCCTCGCGTGCCGCGCCCCGCCCCGCCCAGAAGGGACCGGTGCCCACTCACCTCTTCTCGTAGGAGCACCATGCTGCGCGCGCACACCTCGGCCCACCAGAGGGAGCTGGTGAGCAGCGGCCTGGACGCCTTCCTCTTGGCCGGAGACGTGTACAGGCGGGACGAGATCGACGCCAGCCACTATCCCGTCTTCCACCAGATGGAGGGCGTGCGCCTCTTCTCCAACCGCCAGGTAACGGCAAACGACAGATGCTTCTTTTGCAAGTGCCAACCCATCCAAAAAGGGACTCGTCTCCGCACGTCCCTTTCTACCCAACACAAAAAAAAAAAAAAAAAAGAGAGAGAGAATGACAGATTTAGGCTTCACACAAGGACAAAAAAAGAAATTCCCGATTAGTTTCACCAATCTGATCAGAAGTCGGATCAGTCTTTACTGTCCAGTCGAGCCCAGCTGCTCATGAGGGATTGGGATGCATTGCCAAAAAAAAAATAATAAATTCAACTCCCAAAAATGCTGATGAACATTCAACACATGGAAAATGTCCCCCCCAGCCCCCTCATTTCTCATTTTGAGTATATTAAAAAAAATAAATAAATAAAGGCGACCTAATTCATTTTCTGACTTTGGATGGCCGGGGCTTTATTGTGCTTAGCTCTTCTGCGACGTTGCCGACGGTGACGAGCTAAACATGTTTGAGGCGGCGGGGGGCCGCAGGACGCCTCACAAACAGGAAGTCCACAGTCTGGAGGCCGTCAAGCTGCTGGAATTCAACCTCAAGCAAACGCTCAGCGGACTAGTCAGGCACCTGTTCAGAGAAGGTCGGTCGTGCGCGCCGCACCTCGCCTCGCCTCACCTCACCCAACGTCGGCTGACTTTGTCTTCATCGTCCTCGGCAGACTTGGAGGTGCGCTGGCTGGACTGCTACTTCCCCTTCACTCATCCCTCCTTTGAGATGGAAGTGCGTTTCCGTGGCGACTGGATGGAGGTGCTGGGCTGTGGAGTCATGGAGCAGCAGCTGCTCAACTCTGGTCAGAAGACACACACGCACGCACGCACGCACGCGCAGCGAGGCAGTAACCTTTGAACTTGATGGATAAGGTTGCACGGTGGAAGATTGTTTAGTAGTCATAATCCATTCTTTGCTCGATTCAAGATCAAGTCTCACTCGGTCACTAATCGAAGACAATCCAGTCTGATGTTAGCCTCGACTTTGAAGTGTTCATAATACTGACCCTTTTTCTTCTGGAATGATTGTATCATATTCACCTTTTTGAGTGACACACCCACTTCAAGTGAAGTGGCTGCTCAATAGTGAGCTGCTTGCTGGCTGCTGAACTTCCTCCCTTCCTTGCGCTGGCCCGCTGCTCGTTGCCATCAGTCATTGACACTTGGCCCATCACAACCACCACCACGTGGCACTCCGCATTTGACTGCCGCCACGGCACGTGCACGCGGGCCAGCCAACTCGCCTCGAGAGGCGAGCAGGCCAAAAATAGTTCAAAGATGCTCACGCATTCATTCGTACACCGCACGAGACGAGCGTGCACGCACGCCTCCCCTACACCTCCACTGCGGCAGTGTGGCTGGTTGCTGCGGTAACGCCCCCCCACCCCGCAGCCCATTCTCAATCCAATATTTCTGCAGCATCGGAGACAATAGAGAGCAAAAAACGTGAGAGAGCACCCGAGTGACTGCAGTAGAGTGAGCGAGCGGTGGGTTGGGGCGCCTGGGAGGAGGAGGAGGAGGCGGCGGCGGCAACAGGGGACACCGGTTGGCGTGCATCTTATTTAATTCTGCGATCGCCATATGTGGTGCCTGAGGCCAGGCGTGCATGCGTGTGTGGTTGCGCGTGAGTGCATGGGGGGTGGTGGGGGGCAAGGGCACAAAGCAGAGCTGCTGGGGTGCGGCCAAGAGGAAGTTAGGAAGACGAGGGGGAGTGATGGATGCTGGAGGAGAAATGAAACCTCATTAATTCACTCAGGAAGTGTGAGAGGAGCGAGTGCTTTTCCCTTCTATTATTTAGCCATGACACTTCGTGTATGTGCGTGCGTGCGTGTATGTGTGTGTGTGTGTGTGTTTCCCAGGGTTCCCCCTCCCAACAGATGGGACCTGCTAATGACCAGGCCTCCTGGCCAAAACCGGAATTACACACACACACTTCCCAGGGGACCAAAAAAAAAAAAAAGGGGGGGGGTAGGAGGGTTTTGGTGGGATAATATGTGCATGGGTGTGCGCACGCGTGTGTGTGTGGTTAGTGAAATCTGATTAAAGTCGTGTTGGTCACAATTAAGAGGCTCTCAAAGCTGTCGCCACGGGCCCTTGGGGAATGTGTGTGTGTGTGTGTGTGTGTGTGGTTCAGGTGCTCGCTTTGGCTCTTAATCCCCCCTCTTGAATAAATCATGTCTCTCCCCCACGCCCACCAGTGCCCCGCCCCCTGCTGTCATGAAGCTTCATGTTATGATGAGTCACCTTTTGTGAGCTGAGGATGGAAGGATGACAAGCGGAAGGATGAAGTGGTGGTCAGGAGGAAAGAGGGAGGAATGACAGATTTAAAAACAAAAAGAAGGATGCAGGCCTGATGGAGGAGGAAAGACTGACGTCCGTTGGCGCTCCCTCCCTTTTTTCGTCTTCTGTGTTTCCACGTTTGTAATGAGCTGACCTCTGAGCCCCATGTGACGGATTTAGATCTTTGCGACCCACCCCCCCCACCGATCCGTCCTTTCATCCCCACATTCCTCCTCCTTCTGCATCATCCCTCGCTCCGTCTGCCTCACTAACACCCACCGCAGACAATGACTGGTGGCCAGCTGGTCCCCGCCCCCCTCCCCACCCGACACACAAACACCCGTTCCCAGAGGGCCTGAGGTGACCGCTTTGAGAGGCTGTTAATTGTTGGCGGCATGACTTTAATCAGATCTTACCTTCTCCATACACACGTAAGGAGAGCGCGGGTCAACAGTGCGAAGACGACACATGACGCGGCGGGCCACTTTGATCCAACACTTGGCCAACATGCACATTTGTGGCCATCAAGTTGTCAGAATGCATCCCCTGAAATTCAAAGTACTCATGAGAAGTTTGTTCCCGTTGTTCATGAAAAGGATGTGGAGGCCGCAAATGAGAAAAAGAACTTGGGAGCGCAAGTGGGGCCTCAATTTCAATCTTCTTCCCACGTTACGTTTGGCGCGCCGGAGGTCCAAATGTAAAACGGTAAAATCATCTCCGAAGACAACAACTTCTCTCTCTGTGCAAATGAATGAGTTTGGTGTGTGTGTGTGTGCGTGTGTGTGTGGGCGCGCGCGCGCATGCTTGCGTGTGTGGGGAGGGTTAGCGAAGGGCAGAGCAAACATTTGTTTGCGCAACCATCCATCTCAGCAAGCCGTCATGTTCCACAACAAACAATGGGGGGACGGACACACACACACACACCTGGCAAAAAAAAACCTGATGTCTGACAAAGACTTGGCACTGACCTCCAGGAGGCGCTACTTGCGGTAGCGCTTGGTGCGCTGTTGCCACGAGCAGCTCGAGTTGTTTTGGGTTGCTCGGAGGCCGCAAATGTCGTTGACTGGATCCGCCGTTTTCATTGGCCTGCAAACAACAACGATGATTTCAGTCAGATTGCAAAACAGTCGCTTTGGGCCTTTCTCTTTAAGAACAGGCCATTCTTTCCAATTGACAGGAAATGGCAAAGCAAAAACCGAGGACGATTCCGCGCCGATCGCATCCATCAGAGAATCCGCAAAAACCTTGGGGGCCGTCTTGCCAAGTCAAAGATGCAAAGAAATTCCGTCTTGCTTCGCAAACATTGGGGACTCTGTTGTGCGGAAAGGCTGAAATTGTGACCGGCGGGGACAACTTTCCCAAGGACCGACCGATGATCCAAACGGCGGATGTTGATGGTTGTTGACGAATTGTCGCACCTGTAGCGCCGCCCCTCAGGATGGGTCGCAGCGGACTTTGGCAAACGGTGGGAATCGGATCGCCGGTGAATCCGACGAGGCCGACCCATCCTTCGCGTTGGGGGGGCATTTTCTTCAAAGAAAGAGGGAACGCGCTCGTGACGCGGAGACCAGAGTCGATTTTGGGGCAGACGCGCGAGCCGCGAGATCACGCGACGTGCCCCGCGGCTTCCTCCCACGTCGGGGTTGTCCGGACGAGTCGCGCGACCCCCTCCCGCTCAGTCAGCCAGGAGAAGCTCGGCCGCAAGCGGTCGGGAGGATTAGCGGCGCGGAAACGGGATGGCCGCTTCCGCCTCCGATCGAAGCGTCGACGTGCGGCGGACAGATGGCGAGGCCCGGCAGGCGGCGCGTTCGCAGAGATTTCCTTCTGCCCCCGCCGCTCCTCTGCGTCTTTATCCACTTTGTCGTCTGCCGAGGACGGCGTTTAGGCGCCATCTGCGCCAGCGGGGTGAAGCGCCACTTCCTGCCGCACAGCTGGACGGCACGTCGACGGGGCGCCACTTCCTGCGCGCGTCCTCGCCAATGCGAGGTACCGGGGTGACGTCACGGCCGTCTGCCGCTCGTTCATTCAGAGTCGAGTCACTTGCGCTCCTGACACGGACCGCCGTGAGATTCGTAGGCCTTTGAACTAACGCGTTCGGATCACCGCTTTGGGCACAGGAGGCAGGCGACGAAGGCTTCCTTGCGAAAAGATGCGCACTGGCCTCGTGGTTAACGCGTCTGCCTGTCTTTGAATTGGAGCGGGCGCGTCGTGTGGACTTTGCCCTCCCACGTTCCAAAATGTTGTCCTGCTGCACCGGCCAAGTGCGGGGGCGGGCTCACCAACCGAAGGCCAAACATCGGACGTCAGGATTCGAGGGCAGAATTCATTGTTCCGTCAATCACAGCGAGTCGTCCGGGTCCTGAAGCGGAGAAGCGGCCCCAGATGCCGTTTTTGCTCGGTCGAGGCAGCCGTGGCGTTGTTGAGACGATGTCCCGCATTCCTCCTGGATGAGTTGGAATTTTGGCAGGCAGGCAGGCGACTGTTGCGGGTTTTCTCAATTGCCGGATTCTCACCGTGCGTCGCCATGCTTTATTCCGCACCGATCGAATCCGTTAATGACTTGGAAGATTTCTTTCTGTTCTTGAACTTGTCGGGGTTACGACTTTTGGTGGCAGCTTTGGGAGATCGTTTGGCGGACGGGTTGTGTTTGAGGGGATTTTCTTGACTGAACGGGTCCAGAGCTAATCAGGCTTGGGTGTCATCACTGGAATTGAAATACTGGGGGGGGTGATTTTAGCAAGGGGCGCGATGACCTTCAAGTGTGAATTCATCACATCAAAAACAGCATTTTGTGTGTGTGTGTGTGTGTGGGGGGGGGGGTCTACTAGCTGACTTTGATGGTTTTGGGAAGGGGTTAGGGTCCTTTTTGCTGCGGCTGAATAACATGTTGTTGAAGTTGCTGTTGTGTGTGTGATGCGTTTGTTGTCAGCCGGCGTGGCCAACAAGGTGGGTTGGGCCTTCGGACTGGGCCTGGAGCGCCTGGCCATGGTTCTGTACAACATCCCCGACATCCGAATGTTCTGGAGCCAGGACGAACGTTTCCTCAAGCAATTCCGTGTGGACGACATCCACCAGGAGATCCGCTTCCAGGTAGCGAGCGTGACCGCCGCTTGGTTTGTTGTTTTTTTTTCCGCCCGGTCGTGCACGTCGCGGGATGTGCAGCCGCGAGGAAGATGAAGGCGCGTTCTTCGGAGGCTCTGCGGGGATCGCGGCTCATCTCCTGCCCAGTGACGCTGCGCCTTCCCTGGGCGCCGCCTCGTCGCCTTCCCCCTGCAGCCGGCGCAGATGGCCCGACACGCGCCTAATCGACCCCAAACCCGCACACACACACACACACACACACACACACACACACACACACACACACACACACACACACACACACACACACACACACAAAATCTAAACTTCAATGTGCTCTTTCGGAGGCAAACACATGCCTTGTTTTTCCTGAACACGTAGGCCTCCTACACTACGGCATTATATTGTTTCTCATGATGGTGCTACTTGAAGGGCGAACCGTTTTTTTAGGTGGGATTGAAAAGTTTGACAAGCACCCACTTTGACTTTGAATGACTTCACAACATAGACAACAAATTGGCCATGAACTCACTTGTTACAGTAACTATTATTCCGTTTCTTGTACGCATGTGTGTGTGTGTGTGTGTGTGTGTGTGTTTGTAGGAACTGAGCAAGTACCCGCCGCTGCACAACGACATCTCCTTCTGGCTCCCCGCGGCGGGCGAGCCGGCCTTCCACGCCAACGACTTCTACGAGTTGGTGCGAGCCGTCGCCGGAGACCTGGTGGAGGAGGTCACGCTGCTGGATGACTTCACGCACCCCACGTGAGCGCACGCACACACACGCGCATTGCATAGGAAGGACGGATGAGGAGGGGGAGGTGTCATTTTCTAAAAAAAAAAAAAAAAAGTTTTGATGATGATGGTGACATTTGGGAAAAATCGCGCGTCTCGGCTCTCCAACTGCCATCATCATGAAAACAATACAGTCACGTAGTAGGCCCAAGTGTTGAAAGAAGTAGTTTTCTTCTTAAAAAGTAGCTTCCTTCCACTCCCACGTTGTGCACTATTCAAACAAATCATTTCAAATGGATTTTGCAAGTTCAATCCAAACTGTTCTTGATAAGGTCTTAAAAATTGCATGCAAATGTCACGTGCTTCAACGTGAACCGCACCCGGTTCCAGAACCATGACGAATGCAACAAATGATCCAGAACCGGCGATCGTGGAAATGCACCGCGCGCCGTATGGCAGTGACGGGAAGGAAAGGGAATCGAGTTTCACGGGAACGGAATTGAGCGCGAGAGCAGATTAGCAAACACTAATGGCCATTAGCTGCGAGTGGCCGTTACGCGACACCATAATGGAGCCACGGAACCGCCTTCTCGGATCGCAAGGGCGATCAATCGGATCGCGTTTCACGAGACGGACGCCCTCGCGGCAGCTCTTACACGCACGCATACACTCGCGGGAAGTGTTGACTTCCTGTTGTGGCAGGAAGTCAAGAAAGTGAGCGGAGCGAAAGCCACAGGGGCCTGCCGGGCTAATCAAAGGTCAAGCGGAGCACTTAACGAGCAATTAGCACTGAGAAAATGGCGGCTTTATTCATTTTTAAGCATGCCCGCGCGCGCACACATATACCGATCGCAGGACCAAAAATGGCTCCCAACTTGAGTTCTTTTGGTTAAAGTGCAACATGAGCACGCTTGCGCTGGGATTCGTGTGTGTGTGTGTGTGTGTGTGTGTGTGTGTGTTGATCTCTATGGTGGAGGTGCACACTTGCATCATGGAGACGTCAATTATTCAACACATGCAGACATGACATATAGCACATTCACTCGTTGAGTGTACGCGCGAGCGTCGTGTTTGCGTGCACGTTGAATAATTGAGTGGCACCGGCGGGGCGAGCGACACGCGGGATGAATGAAGAGAGAGAGACCGAGAGACTGAGCCGGCCCCTGATCCTGTGGAGTGTTTCAGGAGCGGAAGGCGGAGCTTGTGCTTCCGCCTGGTTTACCGCCACACGGAGCGCACGCTAAGCCAACAGGAAGTGCGTGCGGTTCACCACCAGATACAGCGCGAGACCGAGACGCAGCTGGGCGTCGAGGGACGCTACTGAACACGCCCCCGGTCAATCTGTCCACTTTTACTAATTGTCACAATGAAATGTCAGTCGATATCAAAACACTGGAGCTCATGTTGTCGTTGTTGAAGATGACAACTTCTAAAACCAGTAAATGTTTCCAAATAAAACATCACAAAGATATCAGTTGTCCTGTGTTTGTTTTCGAGTGATGTGATGAGTGAGCCACTGGTTAGCCTTTGCCAGCTCACAGAGAGCTTGACTCCCAAGGCTCAGTCTTCAGAATGTTCATTTTGACGGCGAAGGGGAAGAGGAGCTCCGATCGTGCCACGAGCAACAAGGAGCGGAGCTCAAAGACAAACGGGAAGTCTCGCTGCCCGAGATTGAAAGCGGCAGGCGACCTCCTTCGGCCACAAAGCTAGCATCAAGCTGAAGCTCACGGTGAGCTCATGCTCATGACCGGCTCGTTGTCTCTCTTTCGATGATGAAAAGACGTCACAAAAAGTGTCTCCATCATTTTTCTCTCTCTTATTTCAGCCGCTGCCATTTCCCGTTCACGTGGCGATGCGCGGATGCCCGATCTGTTTCGTTTGGCCTCCGCGCTTACCAGATCTTCGTTGCGCGCGTGTTGCCGTGGAAACGTGTCCTCCAACAACGATCCCAAGGCTGCATCGGCGCAGCCCGGGATGGTTGTTGTTGTCTCGTCGTGACTTAGCTTGTGAGCATGTGTCACATGTTTCAAAATAGGAAGGTTTCAAGAAGCTTGCCGACACCCTGCCAAGCGCACTTTACATTTCCTGTTGAGACAGGAAGCTCGGTGCCGCGGCGGCCCGGTGAGCGGCTTTCTGATGGGGCTCCCAAAAGGGGAGGGGCTCTTATTTTTAGCAGCGACCCACTTTTACTCCTGAGCGACGCACTTGGAAAATGTTTGACTATAAATAAATAAACAGGAAACATTTTCACATTGGCAGTGTGCCTCAAAAATTCCAAAATAAAAGCTTTGGTCTTGATTGAGTCCTGCAACCAACAACTATTTCAATCATTGATGAATGTCTCGCTTAAATTTGGGTAATTGATCAATTGGATTTTTTTTTTTTTGGTCTATTTCTGAACTGAAAAAATTTTGACACGCTATATTGATTGAAAAAAATCAACAGCAATGTAATTTTAGGAGCATTTTATGTGAAGACCTTAAAAGTGGAACTGAAAACTCAGACTCGATTGTGAAGCAAGCAAATGACATTCCTGCCATTAGAATTAATTCTCTTTCTTTTTTTTTTTAACCTTGTAGGCGTCGATTTTCTCCCTCCACGGTCCAGCCATGTATATAAATTGCCTGGTATTTTCCAGTGCAAAGTGAGATTAACACGATACCAGCCGGACGTCAAGAATATATATAAAACAGGTTAGCTTCGAAATTAGCATGCCTTGTGACCTTGTGAGTTGGGGCTCCAACAGAAAGAAAAAGTTTCAACATTGCAGGTCACTGCTAGTTTACGGCTAATACATGCTAGGCGAACATAACTAGCACCTGTTCTTAATTGGCTCCCGAAAACAAACATCAATGTGCAAAAACAGCAGCAACATACACACAGATAGAATAATACTCACCCGCATATTTTACTAGTCTGTAGCCAAAAGAATTTAACCTCATTAACCTCATAGCTCCAGACGGAAATTGTTTCTTCTTCCCTCGGATCCCTATTTTCTATTTGCACGCGTGCACCACACTGCCTCGAAGTGGTCACGTCGCCGCACAGCACGAAGAGCACAGCCAAACACGCAGCTGGGCGTTTCCTTGGCGTCATCATCACGCGACAAACCTCATCATCGGGAAATTCTTTGCCAACCCTTTTAATCGGCGATGTTTATCGATTGGTTGTTGCTGCCCGAGATGTACGTGTGTGTGCGTGTGCGTGTGCCTGTGCCTGTGTGTGTGTGCGTGTGTGTGCGTGTGTGTGTGTGTGTGTGTGTGTGTGTTTGTGCGTGTGTGTGAGCGCGCACGCTCGCGCTGACACGTCTACTTGTGATATGAACAATGGATTTCAAGTAAAAAAAAGGCCGGGTAAATGGTTTCAAAAACGGAATCATCAATTTATAAATATAAAACATTTAAGAATAATATTATTAATAAAGCATTATGTTTGCCAAAAGTGAGGTCAATAAAATGTGTAATTTTTACACTGCTGGAGTGTCTTTTTAGTGTCTTTAATTTGTCTTCTTTCGTTCTTTTTTTCTTCGTTGCCGTTTGCTGATATTTTGAATACATTCATGTTTTGCTCTTTCTGAGAATAAAACATTTTGTGTCCTTTCGTGCCGTGCTCACTGACTCTCATTGTTGTCCAGAATGGTTGTAAACGTACGATTTTGATGATTTTCCTTGTACTCTTTCTGTCAGCGTTTCAGATCAATCGAATCATGTCGAACGTGCGCTTTGCAAGGCGATGAAATTCTTGTTCTTAGGTATGCCATAACGAGTGCAGCAGACGCCTGCAGGGCGTGGTCGCGAGTGGGTTGAGGCCAGGAGAAATCTCGCGGGATTTTCCACATGAATATTTCATGAGCGCCTTTCTTCTGCAGGCCTTAATTGCGTCTTCAATTATTCAGCAGCCTCGCTTCCAGGAATTAGTCGGCTCCCTCCGAGACATTCGCATGTGGTCCCCAAAAGTCATAAAAAAAATCTTTGTGTGTTTGTTGTTGGGTTGTTGTTTTTTTTTTTTGGTCAAATCGGATTTCAATTCGAGTATTTTGCCTTCACCGCATCTGTCAATAAAACAGCGAACAATGTGTCGCCAATGATTTTGTGCTCACACACGCGCATCCCAAAAATCATGCACCTGCAAGCCACCCGAGCGTCATGAAATATGAACTGGTCACATCTCAACGCTAATTGACACAAAAAATGGGATTCTTAAGAAAAAAAATTCCGATTGCGATAGTTATACATATACTGTATATACATATCTATCTATCTATATCTATATCGATAGATATATATTTGTTTTTTAAATGTCGTTGTCATTTCCCTTTTTCATGGGACCTATTTCGCGTGTGACGTTTTCATAAATAGAAAAGAAATGTGGGCTGATTGTTTAAAAAAAAATATGTCTCCTAATAAGAAAGCGACATTTGATGTGGACGCTACGCCCCCCCCCCCTTTTCCCCGCATTCTAAAAAGCACGCGGGTATGCACAGCCTGCTCGGCATGCTGTCAATGCTCGATTGTCTGCAAATGGGCGAGCCGCGCAGCAAACGGACGGAGGACTTTTGCTGTTTGGGCAGCTGAGGCCCGCTCGTCTTAATTCCGCACCTCTTCATCTCCAACCACCTTTCACGCAATGAGGGCGCGCCCGCATATGTGTGCGTGTTGTCGGTGTGTGTGTGTGTGTGTGTGTGTGTGAGTGTGTGTGTGTGTGTGTGTGTGTGTGTGAGAGAGAGAGAGAGAGAGATGGAGTGACGTCCCAGACTTCCTTTCAAACAGTCGTGTTTTATTTCGCACTAAATATTCTTTTCTGAAATTTCTATGTTCATTATAAGTGGAATAAAGTTTTGATGATAAATCTTATTTTGTCTTTCTCGGAAGAACATCATAAATCCTTGTAAATTCTTTTGATGATTTTTGGAATGATTTGTAAAAATTGCGAGCAAACAAACAGAAATCAACAGAGATACGAATACGTCATTATAATTATTGTGATTATTATTCAACGTTATTACTTGTTATTTATTGGAGCACAACAGTCTTGATGAATGCTTATTGATCGGTCGGTTGACGAGACCAACACTGGCCATGATGTCGTGGTGGTATTGCTCTTTTGTTTTTCTATTTTTGCCGCCATCACAAACGTAACAACGTTAACGCTAAACTTTCTACTCACGTACCAAAAAAAAAAAAAAAAAAAAATTCAGGAAACCAGCACAAAGGAAATTTCAAACCTCGCTTCAAAAAGTCTTTGCTAAATGATGAGGAACCTGCAAGCACACGGGCCGGGGACTCAACGCGGGGACGCTAAAGCACTCAAATGTTAGAACGCAAAACATTGAAACGCTAAAATGTTAAAACAATGAAAAGGGAAAAAAAAACGTCAAAACTCTGAAAACAGTCAACGGTAAAATGCTGGAATGCTAAAACGTAAACACTAAACATGAAAAAACAAAAATGTTAACATGCAACATGTTAAAGTGTATTAGCACGCAAAACATAAGAACCCTAAACGTTAAAACACGACAAGGTTAAAATGCGAAAATGTGAAGAATTCAAACCTTCATCCACCGCCTGGACACCACAAAGCGACCATGAGCCAAATGCTATCAGCTGACGCACGACAAGAGCTGTGCTAAAGGTCACACGTTGCCCTCCTCGGGTCAACACTCAGCTGCAGCCGAGACCGTTAGCCACGCAAATCCTCGACAAAGTGTTGAACCCCAACTTAGCCGCATTGAGAAAACTCATCCGCAAAGACATTCGTTGGCGCAAGTCCACTCTGGTTAGCATGAGCCCACGTTATCGCAAAGGTTTGGATTCGCAGCGCTACGCTAAATGGCGTGTAGCGCCAGGCCCACGTTTGTGCTCATGTCCTAAAAAGGCTGAGGAGGTGACGTCACGCAAGGCGGCAACACTCACTTCCAGTCCATGGGCGTCCACAAACTTTGGCTGTTTTGGGAATCAACAAAGGGCCACTGAAAAAAAAAACAACAACAACAAAAAAAAAACGCCGTTCTACAGAGCAGTCGGGTGCGGGCGAAGACCTCGGAACTTGGGCTAACCGATGTTCAAGTGCCAAACATGATGGCGCCAAAACATGAAAAGAGCGAAAGATTCAAATGCTGACTGGCTGGAATGTTGAAGCTCTTCAAATTGGCAACAGCGGAAGGTCCCAGAAGCGCCTTTCCACAAACCGGGGTGGGATTCCCAACACAGCCAAAGAAGGGAGAGAGAGAAAAAGCTAGCTCGTAAGCTAGCTGCTAAAACGATATTGCAGGGGGGGACAATTTGCTGCTTTCGGGAGGGGAACGTTGTGCCCGCCCGGCGCCCGCTCAAGCGACGACACCATTTTGAAAAAGTCCTCCGACGTCTCAACCGAATGTCCTCGAAGTTTCACCAAGCGTCATGACGGGTGGCCGGGTTGGACCAAGCGCCGAGTCGAGGGCAAACGCGGGGCTGCGCTTTCCACTTTTTGGGAGGTCGGGGGGGATTCCGGTTGAGTGGGCGTCTCTCTTAATAAAGGGCCAGCAGCCAGGTCAGCAGGCTGGGCAGCAGGACCAGGAAGGCCCCCGCCGGGCCCCGCCCGGAGGGGGCGCCGTTTCCCCCGCCGCAAAGTTCAAACAAACTCCCGCGAAAATCCAGACTGCGAGATTCTTTCTTGAGTTTCTCCCAAAGGTCGCTGGCGCCTTCCTGGCAGTCGGACAACGCCGTGCTGGCGCACGAGTGGAAGTCGTCCCAGTAGCTGTCGGGGAACAAGCACAAGGGGCAGAAAACAAAACAAAAAGTGACATGGTTTCCATATGCAAAGTGCGCTCTTTTGTGTGTGTTTTGTGTGTGTGTGTGTGTGTCGACCAAAAAGCGGGTCAACGTCACCAGGAAAGTGGCAACGGCATCAGAAGGGAACGACAAGAAAAGACAACTCGTTTTGCGATGAAAGGCATTTTGGGCAAAGGTGTTGCGTGTCAACGCTTCAGCGTTTGGACGTTTTCCACTTTCAAGGTTGTTTGAACACGTTTGCCTTTTGAGCGGCCCTTTTGGAACAAAGTCCAATCTTTTCTTTTGTCCAACGCTCTTGTAAGATTGCCACTTGACCCTCCAAAACCCTACACCACAGAGCGTGTGTGTGTACATTGTCGAGAAGGCCTTGTTTTTTTTTTTTCCGGGGAAAGAGGGCCGCAGCGCCGCGCGAGAGCAACGAGGCGCGCGATCGCCGCGTGCCCTCTGACCCGGCCGTGTTCACGCTCCCAATTAGCGCACCCGCGCGCGTGTGCGAGGAGGCGTGTTAACCGCTTCCACCCGCCACGCCCCCTCCCCGCTGCGATCAAGCTGAAATATTGCCGCGCGGGGGGCGCGGGTGCCTGCGCCATCTGGAGTGGGCGTGTCGCCCTCATCAAAGTGTGTTTAAGTGCGGCGGAGGACACAAAACTCCGCCCCCACGCGTGTCTTGCGCAAACATTTGGCCTTTGAAGCCGCAGGGGGCGGAGCTCATCTCCACGGCCGATTAGCGGCCTTCGCGGGTCCAAGCGTCACGCCCCCGTTTGCGCAAGACGACGCTCCCGTGCAACGAGTTGGCGCCACCATCTCGACCAACACGCAGCCGAGAAAAAGCTCCGAGGTTTGCGGGAGTGAAATGCCCAAAACAAAGCGCTGCGCCCGGACCGCGCGCTTGCCGGCACGTTTCTCGCCAATGGCTCGCACCTGCAAGCTTTGCGCTTCGATCCTTGCTGAAGCCGCCGCCATGTGAGGTTGGGCGCAAAGCCAAGCGCTTTGCTTTCCATCAAATGCGCGTCTTTGGACTCCAATGCTGACATTGGAGGCGCACTCGCGGGCGCCTGACGGATTGACGACCGCTTTGACCTCGGATGACCTTGTTGAACATTTCCCCAATTTCCATGAAAGCGGACGGACGGTCCCGGCTTTTTTTTCTTTTGCCTTTGACAAGGAGACATTTGCGACGACCCGCTCGCGCTTTGGAAAACAACGAGCGGGCTTCCGCCGGGGGGAATCTTCCTCAATTTGGCGATCGCTGGAAAAGCGCTCGGCCAGATGAATGGCTGAGAAGGCGTGCTCGGCGCTGGCGCGGCCGCCCCGCGCGCGACTCTTACGTGCAGATCTTGTGCAGGTTCTGCTGGTCGTCGAGGTCGGCGGGGTAGTTGGCCATGTTGTCCCCCAGCTGCAGCAAACAGTCGGAAAAGCCTTTGAAGACGGCGTCACAGCGGGCGGAGCTCACCAGCGCCGACTGCGGCAGCCAACCTGAGCCCGGGCGAGAGAACAACAACGGCGCCGGCGTTACACCGAGTCGTGTCGACGACGCCGAGACCGCGCGTCGCCTGATGCCGGCGCGTCTCTCGATCCCGGCGGTCGCACGTGGCCGGAAAACCACGAAAGACAAAAAGCGCCTCCACACCCCCACCCGCCCCAACAAACGACGACAACCGCTCGGGGGGCGTATTTTGCCTCCCCAATTCGGGGAAGGCCTTCCTTTTCCTTTTCGACAACATCTTGGTGCTTCGAGGGCCAAATCCCAGGTGTTCTGATTTTGATTGATTTATTTTTTTGGGGAGCGGGGGGGGGGGACACTTGGCTGCAGGCTCAATGCGGAAGTGACGACGCGGCACGCAGGCCTGGGCCAGGCTCCGAAGGAAAATGTTGCGGCCAGTCCAGCTCTCAGTTCGCACCGGAACCTTCTTGGAGCCTTGGCGACATTCCAACACTTGAGGCCTTGTGATTTCATTCCAATCATCTCGCCCGTGAATCGAAATGCTTCAAAAGAAGCTGAGCCTTGGTCACATTGAAAGCGAGGCAACACGAGATGATCTGCCACCATTGGACAATCTTCAACGGAAGAGAGCTTCGAGTGGATTTTGTTCCCGCAAAAAAAAATGATGAATGAGGAGCGGATGACGTCACTTGACGTCATGCTGCAGCATTCGGGTTTTTTTGGGGGGGGTTTTTTGGCCGTTTCTCTTTCAAAAAAGAAAAAAGTCCCCGCGTGGGTTTGTCTCGTTTGTGCACTTTGATTGGCGTATTTGCCACACGTTGCTTTGCTGTCTCTTTTTCGTTGGCTTTGGCTTTTCCTTTCAGCGCGCCTCACGCGCAAACTCGCGCGTTCCTGCAGTGCGTGCGTTCGACACGCCCACCCCACGCGCGCGCGCGCGCGCACAGGCAAAGAAAGCGGACGCGCGTTGCCATTTCGTCTTCTTGCCACGAAATCCCCGCAGCCCCCAAAAAAGAAATCAAAGTCTGTCACATGAAATCAATGTTTTCAGAACCAGTCGGAATCACGACGCTGAGGATCACGATAATAATTGATGAAATAAAATTGGCTAAGTTCGGTCATCATAATCATGCTAACAATAAAGGAGGCGATATCAAAAGATGAAGGGATGGAAGAAACAGAAAGACCGAGGTGCTCGCGCGCGCTTCCGAAGAAGAAAAGCGTGCTCAGTCTTTGGCACGCGCGCGCACACCTCCACGCATCGCTCTTATGCAACAATTACAACGAGGTTCATGAAAAAAACTATTTGGAAAAAAAAAAGAAGACGACTGGTGCAGTCCACATATTAGACGGAGCCCGCCAGGCACGCATTCTGCGGGAAGGCGCGCGCACGGCTAAAAATGACATCATTTTTTTCGCCTAATTGGTTTTTACCATTCTTTTGGTTTTTTTTTTTTTGTTTTTTTTAAGACACTATAACAAAACGGGAGTATTATTGCAACGAAAAGCGAGGCCTCGGCGTTGAGTGCGCAACGTTTTTGAGAAAGAGAGCGCGCTCTCTCTCTCTCTCTCTTTCTCTCTCTCACACACACACACACACACACACACACTCAGGCGCGCGCGCAAACGAACATTTAAGTCTCACGCGCAAAAGGCCACTTTGGCACAAATAAAGGAGGAAGAGGAGCAAGATGAAGACGAGGAGGAGGAAGATGGCAAGGGGGTAGGGATCCCCCTTTTTGGCGCACCCGGTCGTGCTCACGTGACAGAAATCAAAGGAGCTCACGAGAGCAAATGAATAAATGTCTATTTTGGGGTGGATGCGAAAACAATGAAACGGACGCGTGCACTTTCCGCCGCGAGTCACGTGCCAGCAGTACAAAGTGAGGGGCTGCAAATAAATCCCAAACGGAACAACCGTCGTTCGTGAAGAACAATCACCGTCGATGAGGACGACGACGACGACGAGTTTCAAAAACGTCCTTTCGGCGGCCGCAACTCACCAAAGTGAAGCACCAGCACGAGCGCGAGGGTTCCCGCCATCCTCGGTGGACGTGCACGTAGGCACGCACGCACGCAGGCCCGCACGCACGGACTAACGCCGCAGAGGAGGCGCGCATGCCCGCAAAGTCACACGCACGTACACGCTCCTCCTCCTCCTCCTCCGTGGCGAGAAAGAGAGAGAACTAGAGAGAGCGAGAGAGGGACTCCTCCTCCTCCTCTTCGTCAACGGAACAACTCCTTCATTCACTTTTTTTTCATCCGGCACTAAAAAAACAATCCTTCGTGAACGTCATCAACATGCCACACTCACGTGATCGGTGAAATGACGTCACGAGTTTGACGTCCATTTGTCTCCGTTCCGAAAGTGTTGCCGGAAAAGCGGTCGAGGTGAGGTGCGACGCCATCAGCTCCAAGTCCCTTTTCAGCGCGTCGCGATTATCCTCGGCTCGATCATCGAGATTGCTACGAAAAAAGGAAACGAAATCAAAGAGAACAGAAAAGAAAGAAAAATGTCACATTTGGGAAAAATCAACTGCTTTTTGGCGTCGTCGTGCAAATGACACACTACACTCTGCGGTGTATGACGTGCTTATCAACCAAGATGATTATTAACATGGTGATCGACGTAAGTTGGACGTCGTAGGTAGCTGAAGCCGTCCGGGGAAGCCATCCGGGGCCTGCGTCGTTGTCGGTGCGCGCGCGGACGGCGTACCTTGTCCTCGAAGGGTCCTCTGGCGCCCTCTGCTGGCGCAAAAGGAAGAAGCAAGAGCAAAAGGACGCGACGCGACAGGAGGAGGGCTTTCTTGGGGTCGCGCTCTCCCAACAGCTGCAGCTGCTCGCGAGGGCGCTTCCACATCAAATACCACCCAACACATCGGACAACACAAAACACAAATACAACCCGAGCAACTTTTCCTCCACGGGCCTTGTCGGGGAAAAAAACACCATTTGCCAGTTTGTCAAGGCTCAAAAGGGCTCTACGGGCAAGGACAATTTGCAAACCCCCCCCCCCCCCCCCAAAAAAAGAAAAAAAAAAACAATTCAAGAATGCCAGTTAGACTTTCCAGCGTTTGCAAATTCCAGAAGAGCAGCAATAATAAACATTGTATCGTTATTGTCTGAAGTTCATGTTTCACGTCCACAAAGGACAATGCGATCTCTGACGTGACCTGCGAGCGGGTCGTCATGGGCCTGACTTTGTCATCTTTGGGCGTCAGCATGGCTCAACTGCTTGACATCTTCATCGTGTGTGTGTGTGTGTGTGTGTGTGTGTGTGTGTGTGCGCGCGTGCGCGTGACTGTTGCTGTGCTGACTGAGCATCCAAAAGGTTTTTTTTTTGTTGTTTGTGTTGGGGCGACCTTCCACTTCCTTCCTCCACTTTCTTCAGTCAAGTTGCACTCTTGCTCATCACTTTGCCCCCCCCCCCGCCCCCACACTTCATTCCATGGCTGTACTTTAGTTGCCAAAGTCATCGCAGGCTTTCCAGATTTTCTCCCAAGCATTTCATGGGCAAAAGCAACCCAACGGGGGCAAATAAAAACCTTTTCATTTGTGAGGCGACAAAGTTGGAGGGCCTGAAGTCGCTCCCCATTGAATCAGGCCCCGACACCGCGATTCCGATCTCTCCATTGCAGGGTTGGGGAACTCCGGAAGGCGCGGCGCGCTGACGACACGCGGGACCTCCGGAGCCCCGATTCCAACCAAGAAGGCAGGCGTGCTCACCGCGGCGGCGGCGCCCCGGATCAACATCCTTCTTGCGCTCGCCCGGCGCACGCGTGACCGTCCCGCAAAACAGGACGTCGGCGACTTGACCTCCGCGGCGGCGGCGTGTCACGACGACCTTTGAGGTCAGAGGAAATGAGAGTTTGGTTTTGGGAAGAAGGAAGCGCTCGCCGCCTCCCGAGGCGCGACAAACAGGAAGTCACTCGGCTACTTAAAGGAGGTTCCGTGTGTCGCGGTCACAACGCTGCCTCCTACACGCAGGTAAGACACGCGCTCACACGCCTCGGCCTCTTATTCGCCGGCTGTTCCGCCCTAAACGTGACCCCTCTCCAAACGGGGAGCGGGGCTCTTCTGGGAAGCTTTTCATTCCAATCCACGGCAATCCGCACGAGCGGAGGTCGCGGACAAGTCACGTGACCGTGCACTCATCGTTTGGAGACCTTGTTGAATTTCAAATTGCCCAGATGTCAGCCTCTCAACGGGAAATCTGCAGCCCGAGTCTTGGGCCGGTGGCGAATCCCCGTCCGGGACACTTGCAACCCTCTCACCTCAACCTTGGAAAAGCTTTGGCAACATTTTCGCCACCCTCTCGCTAACATGACCAAAGCCAGGAACTGAATGGTTGTCGCTCGTTTGCCTGCGCGTTCCCCGACACCGCGATTCCGATTTCTCCATTGCATGATTGACCGGGCCACCGATTGTCAACGCGGCGCCCGGTCCGGGGTGTACCCCGCCTCGGGCCTGCTCCAAGCCAGCTCGGATAAAAGACCAGGCTCAAAGTTCGAGAAAACGGAGAGCGGGATACAGCGTCGCTCGCGCTTTCCATCTCACGTGCTGTCTTTTCTGTGCTCTTGGTTTTTTTTTTTTTTTTTTGCTCAGCTGACGATCCATCCGCGGCCGCCATGGACACGACGGGGCGCTACAACGAGGCGGTGAGTGTGAGGCAGCGGCCCCGAAAGCCGGGCGTTTCAATTTACGCCGGCGTCGCGCGCCGTAACAGAAAGCCGAATGTCACCGCAGCCGTCCACCAGCAACCTGGGGAACGACGAAGACGATTTCCCGTTATTCGAAGCTTTCCACGAGGACGACAAAGTGTTTGACGACGACCCCGACCCCCGAGGCTGGCGCGAGTCGCTCCGGGTGGTGGAAGTCAACACGTGCAGGGACATCAACATGCCCAAGCACCGGACGCAGGCCTACGACACCGAGTACCTGGTGATCCGCCGGGGGCAAGAGTTCGTGCTGCGCGTCACCTTTTCCCGACCCGTCACCCCCAGGGACAAGTTCAAGCTGGAGTTCCTGATCGGTGCGTCCGAGCCCGTTTCCGCACCTTTCTCTCACCGCCCCGGTCACGTCGCTTGATTTAAGTGGCCCATTGTCGCATGCGTGACCCGCTTTGGCTGAAATTCAGGAGACTCGATTGCACGTGAACGACGTGACTTGACGAGTCCGGCCGCTTTGCATTTTCAGCATGGCGTGCCCTTTTGTTTTTTTTGGGAACGGTTTGAAGATGATTCCGTGGCGGCGCGAGGGCTATGTTTCTGATAACGGGGGGTAAAAATGACAATGGCAAGGCGCGAGGTTTTTAACTCCGAGGTAGGAGGCGTCAAAGTTTCACCGTCACCGCAAAACCCGCACCGAGCGCTCACAGACGGCGCAGGGACGCCGACTTGGACGGGCGGCGCTAACTTGAGACTTGGGTGAAAGTTGAGGACTCAGGCCGCCGGCGACGTCCTCCGTCCTCAGGTTCCAGGGCCTCGGTCCGTCGGCGCACCCTGGAGGAGGCGACCTTCGGCACGCGGCGCAGGGGTCGCTGGCCGGGTCGCATCGTGGAGTCCCAGGGCTCGTGGCTGCTGTTGGGAATCACGCCGCAGGCCGACACCATCGTGGGCAAGTTCCGCATGTACGTCACCATCGTGACCACAAGAGGGCTGCAGCGCACCAAGAGGGACCCGGACACCGACTGTTACATTCTCTTCAACTGCTGGAATAGCGGTGGGTGAGCGCGGCGCAGCGCATCAAATCTTTGCCCGCCTCCCTCCCTCCCTTCCTCGGATCGGTGAGGTTTTCTGTGCCGGTCCGCAGAGGACTCCGTGTACTATCCGGATGACGAAGGACGGCAGGAGTACGTTCTGAGCGACGTGGGCGCCATCTACATGGGCTCCAAAGAAACGTTACTCAGTCGCGACTGGGTCTTCGGACAGGTGCGTTCCCGCACGCGCCGACGGGCCTCCGGGCCAACAGATAACAGCTGACGCATCCTTTCACAGTTTGATCGCGGCATCCTGGACGCGTGCATTTACATCCTGGACGCATCCCGCATGCCCATCAGGAACCGCGGCGACGCCATTAAAATGGTCCGCAAAGGTTCCGCCTTGGTGAGCCCCGAGCGCTCTTCTCTCGTTGCTCGGCCAACGGGAAGGCTTTCTTCTTTTCCAGCCGCTTTCGCGTCCCGACTTCTCCTTCGTTCCCTGTTGCGGCGTGGCCACTCCTCCTCTCCCATTGGCTCCTGTCCTCCCGCCTTTTTCGCCGTAACTGCGGCTGTGGGAGATCTCCTGCTCGGTCTTCCTCCTCTTTGCCTCCGATGCGGCGGCTCCCATTTCCAGCATCCTTCCAGCGGCGCATTCTATGTCCGTCGAATCCATCGCCGCGTCTGATCTTATTCCTCATCCCGTCCGTTCCGGCGACTCCCAAAGAAACGCTCGGCGAGGTGTCCGGTCTCTCTGTCTCTGTCTCCCAACACCGCTCTGTCCGCCTTCCCCTTCGCAGATCAACTCCCAGGACGAAGACGGCGTCCTGGTGGGCAACTGGAGCGAGAACTTTTCCGGGGGCACGGCGCCCACCCTGTGGACGGGCAGCGTGAATATCCTGCTGCAGTACGCCAACACGGGCAGCCCCGTGCGCTACGGCCAGTGCTGGGTGTTCGCCGGAGTCTTCAACACCTGTAAGACTCACGCCTCGACGCGCTCGAGTGCGCACAACGGCGTCGAAACGATGACCTTTGGGGAAAAGTAGAAGCGCTCATTCGACCCCTCGACTTTGTGTCGGGATGTCAAGGTCAAAAAGTACGGACGGTCAAATGGACTCGAGTCCAAAGTGAAAATTGAAGTCCCGATAGAGTTTTTCCGCCGTATTCGTCGCCCACGATTTCGTTCGGTCAAGATCTCATCCGCAGTTCGCCGTCCTTCAAAATCTCTCGTCACGGGTCCGGCGACTGCCGCCGCGGTCGTGACGATCGGCGTTCTTTTGGCAGTCCTGCGCTGCCTGGGCATCCCGGCCAGAGTCATCTCCAACTTCAACTCGGCTCACGACAACAACGGCAACCTGAAGATCGAACTCATCTTCAAGTCCGACGGATCCGCGGATGAGCGCAACACACACGACTCCATCTGGTGGGTCCCCACGCGCGCGCTCGCTCGCCGTCGCCGCCACGGATGTCGCAAAGAGGAGTGAGCCGCTCCGGATGTTGTCTGTGCGTTGCGTCGGCGCGTTTGCGGTCCTGACGGTCAAGGTGTCCGCGCAGGAACTACCACTGCTGGAACGAGGTCTACATGAAGCGTCCCGACCTGCCCCCCCGACTGAGCGGCTGGCAGGTGGTGGACGCCACCCCGCAGGAGACCAGCGACGGTACGTGGGGCGCGACGGCGGCTCGCGCGCTCGGGTCGCGTGCCGCGGACTTGATTCCGCTCAGTTCAAGAGCGATTGGCAACTACGGAGAGACTCCACCCGGTTTGGAGTCT